TTGATGAAGCGGATGTAAGTGAGTTGATGCTGCTGGTATGAACCTGGAGAACTGAGTGACTGCTTCTAGTAAGGAGCGTAGTTCGTTTACATTTTTGGACGTTTGGGCTTTAAGGAGTGCCCTGGTTTTCTCTTCTACCGGATACAACCCCTCGCGCGAGAGCTTGTACCCCAGGTGTTGCACACTCAGTACAAGAAATTCACACTTTTCTTTCTTCAGTATCAGCCCGGAGTCTAATAGCCTTTTTAGAACTACATTCAGGATGTGCAGATGTTCAGCAGTTGTGCGCCCGGTAATTACGATGTCATCTAGATAGGCACATGTATTTGGTATCTTTCACTAGCGAGTCGATAATTCGTTGAAATATGGACAGTGTAGAGCTTATTCCGAACGGCATGCGTATGTAGCGAAATAACCCAAGATATGTGTCGATGGTGGTGAAAGCACGTGAATCCTCGTCGGGTTCAATCTGCTGGTAGGCGTGGCTCAGACCCAGTTTGGTAAAAAGTTCGCCACAAAAGAGAAAGGAGTAAATATCCTCAATTTTAGGCAGTGGATATCGAACAAGTATCTTTAGACCTAGTCCCCCAGAACGTACACACGGATTTGTTTCGTCGAATGGCGGTGGGAGATACATGCAATAAAGGTACCCAACACATTCACCAACTGTCCGGTGTATGATCGTAGTTGTATTGTAGGGAGATCTAGTTTTGGTAGTTGCGACAGGACATTGAATCGTATCAGCGTAACTGCGGAACCCGTATCAACTTCGAAATCAAGAGGTGGTTCGTTTACCTGGATAGACACAACGAACGGTTTCTCCGCTGTTATGTTATGATTAAAAACTGTTGTGGTGTTTATCCAGTTCTGGTTTAAATCCTCAGTAATGTGATTCGCACTTTTTGGACTTCCTCGCACAACGAAATTTCGTTTGGAAAGGCAAACTTTCTGGATATGTCCTCTTTTCCCACAAAATCTGCATAATGAGTGAAGATGCTGGCAATCAGCCGCATCACCCAAGTGACCTGAGAATCTCTAAATCAACGACATCAGATAAGCACAAGATCGAGGATGTGCGGCGACTGACCCGGAATTATCCGAGTAGGTGACGACACATGTTGAGTGGGATTCACTTCGTGGACAGTGGCGAGTAGAACAGCATCGAAGGAATCTGGGGCGAGGTCACAGTGCAGTATATACCAAGTTGACACTTGGGATATTTAAGTCCTACATTATTGGGGTATCCGTGCCCCGCCATGCCTTTTTATCGAGTCCGGCAAACGGGATCTGGCGCCCAGTGCGGTCCGTAGACAACACCGACCGTGATTGAATTGTGTCCGTTGTAGACACAGCATCAAAGTATATCCGAATCCCCAACAGTGCCACAAATAGCATTCACAGTATGAAACGTCAACCCATAATTCCAGCAGATCTTCCTCCTTGGCAGTCATTCCGGCAGAGGTGATATCCGAGATTCTGCACCTCTGAGTCTAAGATATCACAGGACGACCAGGTCTCAGTAAAAGCCATCAAATCCGGACGATTCATTGAAACAAAAAGTTGAATTTCATATACTTTGTTAACAGAGGTTACGCGCAGTCCGTTCTTCACCTCTAACACTCGGGCATGACAAGAATTGGCTTTTCTCGGACTGCGAAAATCCACAATATGCAAATCTGTCTCGCCGTTATCTCGGCAGAATCTGAGTTCATCAACCGCTTTCTTCATTTTCACTCGATCCTCAGGAGAAAGGTCTCACAACACATAAATGTTTCACCTGTAAGACACGGAGCTCCTCGGACAGGCTTCGTCATCATTGTGGCACGCAATCTTAGGCGGACGAACGTTTGAGGAGTCTTGTTTTCTGCCGAAGTGGATAGCCGAAACAATATTGGTTCCGTGTTCACCTTCATCAGACAGTAAAGATATCATCCGCTGTAGAAACTCATGATCATCCAGGATCCTTTCAGGTTGGGTGGCTTCGGTCGACTTAGTCGCCTTCTATTTGGGTCCATCACTGACAAGCTACCGAATGAGGCCGAGAGTGGCACTTCGGCACCCACTGTACCTGCAACCGGTGCTACTAAGAGGCCGCTGATTTTCCGCGCATAGTTGCAACAGACGCTCACCGTTGCCCGTTTGTTCGGAGTCAAGTCCATAGTTACCACCTAGCTGAGTTTCTGAAGAGCCCAGGCGACCTACTTGCGCCTTCTTATCCCATGCAACATCAATGGTATCTGGCCTGGTAACACTGCGAAGCAGCGTGGTAGGTTTCCATGGCAGCATAAGAACTGCAGTCGGTGGGCCCATAAGCAACAGCCATCTATATTGCATCCAAAGTGGAACGGGCTACGGCCCAACCACCACCTTGTGTGCGAGTAGTACGCATGATTCCCAAATTAGATAGATAGGAATTCTGCTGCTATGCATGTTGAAGGAGTATGGGCCGGCTCTGTTGATTAAAGGTGGCTCTCATCCACATGTCTCCCAGTGTTATTCTTTCGGGTTTACACTGGATATGGGGTGTGCTGATGGAGCTGTGAGTGGTGCAGCCCAAGCTACCCATAATCCCTCTGTAGGTGCAGGCTAGATACTAGCGGCTTCGTGCGACCGGCGTAAACTATTTATGGTTGGCATAAACGTTGCGACCGAGTTTCTCGAGCATCACTATGATCTATTCACTCTAATTGGCTGTGACGGTGCCTTCTTTCTCTACGTGAACACGTTGATTGATTTTCACACTACCAGCGCGGACATAAAATAGGATATTAGGAACATGCCAAAGCACGCGGTACTTTTTGTTGCTCCGCCCATTTTATCAGTCGGTCACCAAGCAAAACATCCATCCAGATGAAAAGTTCATCCTTTTTACCAAAGTATAGCATAGAACGGGATAACTGAGTAGGCTCGTTTACCGCAACGAAGTCACGTGAGAGCTTTCGTAGACCCTTATCAGCCCAGATCGTGTGGATATCAAGATATGGCGAAGGATCAGAGAACCGGACGACCACGAGCGGCTCCAGTGCGATCTTAACACAGTGTCGAACTGGTCAGTTCAAAATGCCCTACCATTCAACGTAGACAAATGTCGCGTTGTGCAATTACGCCATAGACATAACTACACATATTTGCTTGGGACAAACGGATTGCAGACCAGCTCCCAGGAACTTGACCTTGGTGTGCTCGTACAGAGCGACCTCAACTGTTCAAAACAGACTGAGCTAGCTACGAAAAGAGGCAACCAGCACGTCGGCATGCTGCGAAGGGCATCCGGGAGATTCGACCCCTCAATCTTCCCAATGATGCACAATTCCTAGGTGCGCCCGCATCTTGAATACGCTATCCAAGCTTGGCAACCTTGGTTGAAGCGCGACCTAGAGGCGTTAGAGGCACCACAACGAAGAGCAACAAAGAATGTAAAGAGCCTGTGATATCACTCTTATCAACGAAGGCTGAAGTTGCTGGGAATTTTCAGCGGACGTTATCGAAGGCTGCGCGGCGATCTCATATTAGCGTATCAGATACTGAGTGACCCCAACTACGTATGCCGCCATTTGCTGAAACTTAGCCACAACACGCAGCTCAGGGGTAACTGCTTAAAATTTAAGAAACAATATAGCCGTCTAGAGTGTCGACGGAATTACTTTTCCCTTCGGGTTTGCCAACCCTGGAACGCACTCCCAGACAGTTGTATCGTTCCCTACCTTGGACATTTTCAAAAACGATTAGATGTTGCTCTTAGCTCCAAGCATTTTGTTACCTAAACTCTATTGTGGATTACGCCAAGCATGCTTTTCTACAGGATTTATGTATCAAATGGACCCAAGTGAGTGACCATATTTTACTTTTCTCATGCCTTATATCAACGACCACTGCACCCCAGTGTATTTCTGAACGTTTACGCTCGACCTTTTTAATTTTACACTGATGTAATTTCAGTATTCATCTCGGTAGACGACCCACATATATTTTGATTTCATCATATTCACCCCAACCATCCTACGGGAGGTGTCAAGCACTTGCTTTTATCCCGTGATAAATCATTGTTCATCGGAACAGAAAAAAGTTATATGGCCTCAAGCATTCGCGACTAAACTAAACGTGGATTTTGAGCAAGGTAGACGATAGCATTCCCTTTTCAGAGGATGATATCCCCTCCCAATTCAGCGGAAGGCCATGTGCTCCGACCGTGGGTGCTAAATTCCTTTAACCAATTAACAAACGGTATTTTAATCTTAGTCACTTTTAGAGTCCCTTGCGATTACAGTGCCCTGAGGTCATGTGCGGAATGGTTCTGTTGCTGTCGTGATTCGGTTCTGATGATATGCGTGCACCGATCGGAGTGCTAAATAACGACCAGACGACACGTTTAGTCGTTGAGTGCAGTGTTAGAAGAAATCAGCTCTGAAACTCTGCACTTATGATGCGGTCCCAGTGATCGAAATCGCGGAGATTTGCTTCAAAACAAGCCGCGGCCTCACTCGAGATTGCGTGTCGCAATCCAGACACACCGCGGGTACTCCAAGATCTACATTGTGGTTTGCAATCTAACTCTGTGTAGTACGATGGCTTTTTACTATCGGGTGAACCCGGTTTGGCTGGGTTTGTAGTGCGATATTTGGACCAAATTTTTAACTTTGTTCGTTTCATGGAACGACCTTGTCTGCTACACGTCGATGGTAACGGGAGAATGTCCCGTTTTTGAAAGACCGCCTATCGTTCATATGTAGCCATTGACATGAGCTATTAAAAATCTTACAATGAGCATTGGATTGTTTTCACAACTGATATATTAAGCGGCTGGGACAAGATTATTACTAAAATGGTTTTGTCTGTTTTCTCTTGCAGCACGTGGATCCTGAGGGGAAACCAACAATATCTGCCCATCCAGCTAGATACAGTCCAGAGGACAGATACTCTCGGCATAGAGTTACGTTGAAGTTGCGATTCAACGTTTTGCCCACGCAGCAGCCACCAATTGTGTACTAACTCAAATGCATCCGCAGTTTCAATAAGTATATTTACATTTAATATTTATTTTATACATTTTAAAAGGGATTGGTGCTTGGGCTTGATGACACAATGTCACGAGGAATCACTGACGGTCACACTGGGTTGAGCACTGTTTGCCGGAACAACTGCGACATCAAAAAGGTCGCACACTCCCTCAACTTCGTCGAGGTTGTACTGGAAATCGCTTTCTCCTGGTGGCGGGCTTAATGGTAGAAGTGGGCTGACCAATGTGTTGTCATCTGAAAGACAAAAGTAATAAGCCGGTCATTTCCGTTTAAGTGGAGATGCATTCAAATTGATGTAGAAACGTTTCCCACTTAGAATAGCGCTCGGTCTGATACACCGTACAGCGGGGCGCTCGATTAATTGGTACACTGAGGTCAAACGACCTCACTCGTAGACAGTTGGTTTCATATTCATCTGTAACCGCACAGTAATCCCTTGCAATTCAACCAGGACGCAGATGATCCAGGCAGGAAATCGCAGCCTCGATTCAAGTAGTGAGGTAAACAGGTGGACTAGATTGTGGTGATAATTAACGGCTTTAATATCCCAAACATCACAGCTCGCTGATATTAGTATTGGTACTGACAGAAAGCGGATGGCTGAATAAACAAGTACTTCATACTCGCATATAGCAATGGAACGAGCAGCACTGATTCTCCGCTCTAAGCAGTGCATCACGGTTCCTCCTTTGCTTGTATGTTGAAATGAGTGAAGAGGCTTGTTAGTTATATCACAGTATTCGGGCCTTATCTACTAAACAACCGCTGTTAACTTTGCGTTTAGCTCGAACCTAACAACTTGGTTTGCGATCGGAACCCCGTAGGAGCACGCATACAGGTGCACACAAAAATGATGGAGCGGTTGTAATGGTAGTATCAGACCAGAGTGAACAGATGGACCAACCGAGCGAGCCAAACAGCCAATGGGAGGCGGACGTGACGGATTCGATTACTGGACTCGGATTGGAAAATATTCGTGTGAGTGATTCACCGTTTGTTTAACTGAAGCAAAGGAGGAATCTCATCGACTCAGAAGGGTCGTTAGTTATGGACTTGAACTTGCAATTTATATCGAGGAGTTTGGTTTGCTAAACATGCTGTAATTTTCGCTTAGCTGTCTTTGCCGAATAAACGCTTGTCCCTGAAAGACTGAGTTCTGCAACAGCGGTAGTCAAGAGAGATTCGGTTACCGAAAAGAGTGATCTCGAAAACTCGTATTTATCTGCGGGTGGGTAGCGTCGGCGTGCATATGTTTTGTTTGCCCCATTATCCAGCAGCATCTATCAAGTGACCATGTGCCAGCATTAGTGGATAGAGCAGACGGCTTATGAGGACAGAGTAATGTGGTTGGAACAACAGGCTCCAAATCCATCTTCGTACGAAACCCCCTATCCATGGACCGCCTTCCAAACAATGCCAGGCGTGAAATTATGTTATTATTGTGTTAATGGCAAGTATCTAGTATGCGCAAGCATTCTGATTTTGTCGATGCAACAGAGACACCGTACACCAACGATGATAATTCATCGGGATCTCTACACTGCAGTCATCCAAGCACAGAGGGCATTAAAAATTGTAAATCGTTTGCTCAGATCAGTATACAAAGGCATCTCAGAACTGTTGATTCGAGTGTGTGCAATCGATAGTGCCATTTAGACTTAATTTGTATTGTGTGCGTTGTGCTATCCTTGGTGATCTAGCAGCAGCTCCTTGGTTTGTTGCTCATATTGCCCAGAGGCTTTTTGATACGCGATGTGCTGAATTCTCCAATTCTTAGTTACTAATACATATGACAAGCAAGCCTCCAAATTTATTTGGCTCCTTATATAAGTATATATATATATATATATATATATATATATATATATATATATATATATATATATATGAATCGCCAGTTGTATGCCGTTACAGCGCTTCGCAGCCACGTTACCACCACCAGTCGCGCGCGGGCTGAGTGTACCGTGAGGACGCCCATCCATACGCGGATTCGAACCACTGACCTTATGGTTGCAAGCCAGGCGCGCAGATCACCCGGCCACCGGTCGACACACAACCTGTGGTAAAGATAGTGTACCATCGGAATTATGGCGGAATATGAGTAAGAAAGAAAAAAAACATGCAGCAGTTTTTTTGTCCAATTTACGAAGGCGTATCAGGGCTCTGTGCAGCCGATCGCTATGCTAGGTGAGAAGCTAAACGGAGTTACGTGAGATTAATCTGACTGCAATGTGTATCTGTGGAGGTTGCTAACTCCTGCCATTCACGCAGTCTACACTTGATCCGAGGAGATTGCGACTCGCCTCTTCGTCGTAAGCATACGACTAATGCTGGAGTACAGCTCACCCGCATACTATCCTATCACCCGGGGCGAGGTGCAGTCATTTATACGAGGGTCATTCAATAAATAAGGTGAATTTTTCGGTATAAGGACTTTTAATACAGATAGAAGCTTACTTTTTTATTTTTGTTGTTTTACTTTTTCACATGGATGTAATTTCTTTTGTAGAATGAAAAATAACTTTGGGAGTTTTAGCAATTAACAAAGATGGCCGACCAAGAAGCATGCTCCAGGATTGAACAGCGGTCAATTGTCAAGTTTTTGGTTGCTGAAGAGTGAAAACCAGTTGAAATTCATAGGAGAATGTCAACTGTGTATGGTGCCACATGTTTCAGCCGAAAATGTCTATAAGTGGGCAGAATTGTTTAAAGAAGGACGGAGCAGTGGTGAGGATGAAGACAGGCCTGGGAGGCCTACAGAAGTGAGGTCTCCTGAGGTGATCGAATCAGTCAATGACCTCATTCAGTCGGACAGATGGGTGACAGTGGATGATATTGCAAGGACTTTGAGCTTATCTGTTGGGACAGCACACAAAATTGTCTATGATGACCTTGGCTACTCGAAGGTCAGCTGCTGGTGGGTGCCAAAGATGCTTACTGCAGAGCACAAACAGAGGAGGGTCGAGTTGTGTCAGCAGTGTCTCTGCCGCTATGAGAAGGATGGTGATGAGTTTCTGAAGGTGGTCACATGTGACCAGACATGGATTTGCCAATATGAGCCTGAGTCCAAACGGCAGTCCATGGAGTGGAAGCACGTAGGCTCTCCAGCGAAGAAGTTCAAGTCCCAGCGGTCAACGAGGAAAGTGATGCTCACCGTTTTTTGGGATATGCAAGGCCCAATCACCATTTCATTCTTTGAGAAAGGAAGCACTGTGAACAGTGACAACTACTGTGAACTGCTGAGGCAGGTCAAGAAAGACATAAAGAACAAACGCAGGGGTCATCAGTCAGAAGGAGTCATCTTGCATCATGACAACGCAAGGCCTCACACAGCAGCCCGAACGGTGCAGACCATCAACGAGCTGGGCTGGGAGCTGCTCCCTCATCCCCCTTAAAGTTCAGACCATGCCCCTTCAGACTTTCACCTGTTTGGTCCCTTGAAAGCGTTCACGAGAGGCACGAAGTTTGAAAGTGATGATGAAGTCAAAAGTGTTGTGAGCGACTGGCTGAGACATCAGTACAAAGATTTTTACACTGAGGAAATACGGAAGTTTGTGCACAGATGGGAAAAGTGTGTGACAGTGCTGGGAGACTACATTGAAAAATAAAAAAGGCTTCTATCTGTATTAGAAGTCCTTATACCGAAAAATTCACCTTAATTATTGAATGAGCTTCGTACATATTACACGTTAGCTATTGTGCCGTAATACAAAAGAAAAGAAAAATATGCAGCAGAGGCACGCCAACTGAGCTACCAGTAACGGATGGGCATCGTTCCAGAGAACTATCAGCCGGCTATTGTGCTGCGAAGTTATTATGCTTAGGAAATGAGATCGTGACCGGAGGAGAAGGCCGAGCGGAAGTTGGAGGAACAGAGAAACAGCACAAATGCCGACGTGCAAAGGATTGAGCGAGTATACCATGTGGCCATCAGACTCATCATCACTTTACGAGATGTGTCCTACAATGACCGGCGAAAGGGGCTAGGATTTTACGCCTTATATCATCGCCGAGTGCGGGTTTATCTCATCAGGACGCGCCGGATATTACATCTTGATGATTACATGTTAAAGCCGCTGCTCCATATGCGCACACGAAGACACCAGTACAAGCTTGTAGCACCGGATTTGATGCGAGTCGCTCTCCAACTTCGAACAACTTGCCACAGAACGCAATCGAAGTAAAGTCGGTATCCGAATTTAAGAAGTTCCTTGACAAACACTTGCCGACATGATATCAAAAATGCTCGCCAACATAGTAGGTCAACGCACCTGAGTGATGCAACTATACAGAAGTGTTTTTTCTTGCTGCTTCCGTGCCGTATTCGGAATTACCCGGGGAATAAGTGACACCGGGAAGTTATGAGGGATCGCGGCTGCCGAATTTTATCTGCCGATGCATTTCGCCGTTATAATGAGGACTTTTTTAATAATGAAAGCGTTTGAAGAATATTTGGCCACAGAGACAACTAACAAGTGTGCAACGCGTTACAATCCATTGGAAAGTCTGGACATATGGCAGCAAAGTTACCCACGGAACTTCGACTGGTATAGTGAGTCCTTCATGAATGGGGGTCCTTGGTTCCGTACGAGGGGACCCGGATAGTCCGAACTTGATGACTGCTGTTCAGAGGATTTGAATTGCGGTTTGAAAAACCCTGTCCGCTGTCGCTGCGCCCTCGTGCGATGGCTCCTTCGATAGTTGCCGTAATAATACAACAGGACGTTCGAGCGTCTAGTGGGGGAAGAACGAATCCAGATGAAAACGGAGGTGTTTCGAGCGCCGAGGGCTACCTATCGAAAACGTGCATAATGCAATGACTGTGTCGCATCCACGACCAGAATGCGGTCATGGTCTTAGTAAGCAGGATAATTGCTCGAGCGCTTACAGTAACACAGACACTGAAACACACTGGACACACATCCGCGGTGCTATGTACAACTCTGCAACCCTGGACTGTGGCTTCACCAGTAGTCCTGTCAACCACTGGATCTCTGCATGATTCCTCCAACTGCTCGAAGCCCGTTGACAATTCCTGCTAGCGTTAAATACCATTCTCTATGCAAGGCTACTAACGCTGAGCGCAAACAGCTTCTCCGGGAAGATTGCGACGCCTGGTGGACGCAGCGGATCATTGAGATAGAGCAAGCGGCCACCTCGGGGAATTTCCGTAAGCTTTTTCTCCTGATCCGATCTACTGGCGTCAAAAGGCCGACTGTAAGCGAAGTTGTATG